GGTGTCTGGGGTGTCTGTCTGGGGTGTCTGGGGTATCGTCTGGGGTGTCTGGGGTGTCTAGGGTGTCGTCTGGGGTGTCTGGGGAATCTGGGGTGTCTGGGGTGTCTATCTGGGGTGTCTGGGGTATCTATCTGGGGTGTTTGGGGTGTCTGTCTGGGGTGTCTCTCTGGGGTGTCGTCTGGGAAGCCCTCTGCTGTCCTGACTGAGCGGGGACATTGCTTCCCTTTTCCTTTCCTTGGACTGGAACTGTAGTTGGAGCTTGGCAGGGGGAGGCTGAGGAGATGAAGGTCAGCAGGCGGAGGGGCCGAAGCAGGGAGAAGGGAAGGCTGGCTCCTGAGACTCTCCCCCTCTGCCCGGCGCTGGCTGTGCACGCGTCCCCGGGTTAGTCCTTGGTGCTGTTTGTGTGCTGTGTCCTGGGAGGTGAAGGTTTCCCCGGTGGGTTGTGAACTCGCTCTGCCTTTGAATCACAGACGGGTCTCAGTTTCTGCCTAAAGAGACTTTGCAAAAATGCAGGTAGAGGTGAGGAACAGCTCCCCATTCTTGGCTGATGGCTACTTCCTGTCTCAGGGCAAAGCCACCAAGGGTTTGCCGCAAGCAGCCAGCCCCAGACCCCAAGTGGGGGAGCCAGGCCTCCTGGGCCCGGTTTGCCACCAGCAAGTCCAGGGTCACTCGGGCAACCGCCTTCAAGCCACATGCACTGAAAACCGGACCCTGTGGGGACATGGGAATCACTGGAGTCACAGGCAGTGGATGCCACCCAGGAAGCAGACGGGAACTCTTCCCACACACAGCCACTGGCCTCGAGTGCCTTCTTTGCCCAAAGAGTTAGGGGTTTTGTTTACTTTATGCTGGGGATGAAATGGAACCCAGGGTCTCACACACGCCAGACACCTTTCCCCAGCCCCAAGAATCAGGGATTTGAAAGAGTTGTGAGCTTGAATTTCCAAGTGCAAATGCCCCATAAATGCTTCACTTCCAGAAGGAATTTAGCACATTGTGTCAACACAGAGAGGGAGGGTGGTGACCACAGGAAAAATCATCTCCCTCGGGAGAGGTGATTTAAAAAATCGAATGAGCATTATTAGAGGCTGATATCAAACTTCAAATCAGAAGGGAGGTAAGGATGAAGCACTTGTTAGGCAGATAACAAGATGACAAAGCCTCAAAATCCGGCTCTCTCTGATCTTAATTACCGCGCTATCCGCTGGGTGTTTAATCAGTGGCACATACGCTATGCTAATTATTCTGGCTAATTTTGTTATAATGTAATTCTTTATCAACCCTGCTATGTATAAATTAGGAATTGAAATGTAACGAACACAAATTATATTTAAGGCAACATGAATTTCTTTATTTCAGTATGAAATCTTCTAATCTCTCTTTCTTCCTCTTTATTTATTTATTTCTTGATAGCTCGTGTGACGGCTGTTCCCCACCCAACCCCTGTTAGCCTGGACTGTTCCTGAGGAGAAAGGGACCCAGGAACAAGACTTCCCCCTTCACTTCTTGGAGATCACATATTTGATTTTCTCCTTCAGCAATTGTCCTTGAAGGGTGCAAAATATATTTAAGCAATCAATGGCAGACACATCCCGGCTTCTCTGAATCAGATAAAGGTCGCTTCATCGTTCTAGTTTAATTTTTAAACAGTCATTATCAGGTGCCATAAGTCATCTGTTTTCAGTGACACGCGGTACCGACTCACGTCTTTATGTTTACAAATGTCCGGGGCGGGGGGCTACCAGCAGAGATCCGCAGGGAGAAGCGCGCAGGTTCTGGGGGGGGTTAAGTCCCATGGTTTGTGTCCAGTGAGGTCAGGCTCGGGGGCTACAGTGCTATGAAAGGCTTGTTTAAAAGGGATTCAGAAGACCCTCCAGCCAAACTGAAAAGCTCTGGCTTTAGTTACGGTGGAGTTTGGTGGAGTTGTTCAGAGCCCCAGAGGGTACCTTCTGTGACTGTGGACCTGCAGCTTCTTCTGTATCTATCCTTTTGGTTTTGAGCAATTTTGCCACGAGCTGACCAAGCTTGGAGAGTGAGTGGACATGGCTGGAGTCCAGTGACATGTCAGCCCCATGTTAGGATGGAACAGCAGTGAGAGTCAGTTGCCAAAACAGGGTCCTGGCCGGGGAGAAATGAAGAGTCTCAAATGTGCCTACCCCGTGGACCTCAGGTGAGGGACAAGTATGGTCCATGTACAAATGACTCAAGTGACCCAGGCCCCCTTCTGGGCCCACATCTTCATGGAGCCTGCCATGTTCCCACTCCTGTGGAGAGTCTGGGGCTGCTCCCTCTGCCCATGGTTCCCGTGAGAATTCCTGTGGGTTCTATTGGGTCACTCTCCCCTCCCAGTCTAGCTGCCCCACCTTCCCAGGTCCAGTTTTCTGGGGCTTTGTTCTTGGGCAGGTTTCTTTCTGTCTTTCTTCTTTCTCTTCTCTCCCCGCTCCCAGGGTCTTGTTTGCAGCTGTGTGGTTCACTGTGGCTGGTCTCCCGTGGGGCACCATGGAGTTGGCCCTCATGGCGAGGTCTTAAAAGGGTGGAGACGTGTCTAACTCTGGTGTTTGGAGGTGGGGCTTTTGGAAATTGTTGGGATTCAAGTTATTAGGTTCAAGCTCCATGATGGACTCCTGGTGGCCTTGTAAGAAGAGGGAGAGAGCCCAGACGCACAGACATGTGTGCTCCTGTCCTTTACCATGTGATGCCCTGTGCCACTTTGGGGCTCTGCCAGCAGGAAGGGCATCACCAGGTGACATCTTTCAACCTTTCACCTCCAGAATCATGAGCCCAAATAAACTTTCTTTAATTTACAAAGTAGCGTGCCTTGGTATTTCATCATAGCAACAAAGTGGACCAACATGGCGACTCTTAATTCCCTGCTGGAGTGACACAGATGCTTGTCCCTGGGGCTAGAGCTTTTCAGTTTGGCTGGAGGGTCTTCGGAATCCCTTTTAAACAAGCCGTTCATAGCATTTTAGGCATGTCAATCACAACCAAGGTATCTGTCAGTGAACTGACTGTTCTGTGATGGAACAGGCTTGCTCATTGGACCACTGCACCTCTTTGCAGAGTGGCATTGGAGTGGGGTCTTGTTGGCAGGTCTCTGTGCAAGGAGACAACAGATTCCGATTCCATCTCCTCAGTGGTTACAAGGTTGGGAACAATGCAGGAGTTAGATACCAGATATGCGGAAATTCATAGCAACTCTTGCAAGATTTTTTCCTCTGTTGGGTCATGATTTGCAAAGGCACAAGGAGAGACCGGTTCAGTTGGAGGTTCATATATTTTCCATTAGAACAACCACCCAAACGAAATAACATGGAAGTTTCATGCAGCAAACACTTTGGAGCCCTGCTAGGGCCAGGCAATTCTGGGTGGCTGATGATGTGATGCTATGTGCCATATGCCCATGACAGTTGGTGACACAGGCCAGGTACCCTTCTCAGGCATTGCAAACGTGAATGCAGTTTCCCCTCTTGACACCCTGGGGGGCAGGAGCTATTGCTGCCATCACTTGGCAGGTGAGGAAGCTGGGGAAAGAAACAATTTGCCTGAGGTCATGCTACAGTCAAGGGGTGGGGCTGACAGTGGGACCATGTCCCATTGCCGTGTGGTCCTGCTTCCTGGCTGTCCATCACCTCCTCTAGGAATCAGCTCCTTCTTCTTCTTTCCTCTCTGTTCGTTTGGTCTTTTTAGGAGATGCAGTGCCGTGAGAAGAGATGAGGAAGGAATGGCAGGGAAGAAGAGGTGCAAGGGTGAGGGTAGCCGCCAGGGTTGGGGGCATCACCGCTGGGG